AGTGAATATTTGACAAGTCAGGGTTATGTGAACAATGAATTATGCTTATGTGTGTTCATAAAGAAGTCACATTCCGGATTTGCAATCGTTGCAGTTTATGTCAATGACATAAACCTCATTGGGACTCCTGCAGAGCTTGAGGAAATTGCTGCACATTTGAAATCAAAATTTGAGATGAATGATCTTGGGAAAACTCAATACTGTCTCAGCCTGAAGATCGAGCATTGTTTGGATGGAATCCTAGTACATTTTTCGAACTACACCCAAAAGGTGTTGAGACATTTTAATGAGGATAAAGCGAAACCTTCGAGTACACCCATAATCGTTTGGACTCTAGATGCTAAACGAGATCCATTTCATCCAAAGGAGGATAAAAAAGAGATTTTGGAACCCGAAGTTCCTTACCTAAGTGCAATGGGCTTTATTGTACTTGGCTCAGTGCATTAAACCCGACATCTCCTTCATTGTTAATCTTTTGCCAAGATACAGCAATGCGCCCACACGCAGGCATTGGAATGGTGTTAAAGATATTTTCTGTTACCTCAAGGGTACAACGGATTTAGGCTTGTTCTATGCCCACAAATCTCCGAGTGTTGCCTCTCCCTATGGTCCTCAGATTGATTCTCACCTTGTTGGTTACACAGATGCTAGACATCTGCTGACCCACATAGGGCACGTTCTCAAACGGGCTATGTCTTTATTGTTGGAGACACCACTATATCTTGGAGGTCTACAAAGTAAACGCTAGTTGTAACTTCGTCGAACCATGCTGAGATTCTTGCCTTGCATGAAGCATCACGTGAGTGCTTTTGGCTGAGAGAAGTTATGGAACATATCCGAAATACTAGCGGTCTCACATCAATCGATGACCTTCCTATGATGATCTTTGAAGACAATGCAACATGTATTAAGCAGTTAAAGACGAGATACATTAAGGGAGACAACACTAAGCACATATCCCCAAAGTTTTTTTACTCACACCAACAGCAACAGCATCAGAACATTGAAGTGAAGCAAATCCGTTCCTAGGACAACTTGGCCGATCTCTTCACCAAGTCATTGCCCAAGTCTACATTTCAGAAGCTCGTCCAAGGAATCGGTATGTGTAAATTATTTGAGTTGAATCGCTTATAGTTTTCTTATTTAGAAGTTATGTCTAACTCAAGGGAAGTATCTAGAAGCATATTCACATGATCTTAATGTACTCTTTTTCCTACGATTAGGAGCATTTTTCCCACTGGGTTTTTGCTACCTAACGAGGTTTTAATGAGACACCCATCCTTGGATGATCATACTCCGTTGAGTTCACAACCTTTGTCCTGTTTGATGTTTGTTTTAAGACATTATGCATACTTCTCACTTTTCTCCTTAGTCTATAGGTTTTCCCCATGCCTTGGGTTTTACCATAGCGAGATTTTGTGAGTTTTACTACAAATGCATACTTCAATTAAATTTGAGACTCGCAATCACCCGTTGTGCTGATGACTTCATCAACTATTCTACCTTATCTGATGCGATGGTTTGTTGAGTATTTACACACTCAAGGGGGAGTGTTGTAGTCATATTTAGAATAGGAATGTGATCGTGTAAATCCTAGTAGATATGGGAATGTATCTTATATTCATATTAGGAGTTGATTACCTATTAAATGTTGTAATCCTAAAGGGAAATGTTCTTACCAATCATACTACTATAAATAAAGGCACAATGGGGGTGAATCCAACACACCTTACAATTAAATCAATCTCTCTTCTCTCTAAATGTAGCCGGCCCCCGCTCTCTCTCTAAATCCTAGATCGTTCAATCAAATAGGTCCTACAACAAATATCAAATTTTGTCGTTAATTATTTTTCTTTTTTGTTTGTTAATCATTGACATTTATGATTTATTACAACTATTCTTCTAATTTTCCTTTCAAGAGAGGAATAGATTAGCCATTCATTTCCATCATTTTTAAGAAAACAAAATAAATTAATGCTTAAGGTATGTGATTGTAGATAGATGAATTTGACAAGTTTATATGTATATATATCTCCCAATAATGCATGCAATTGAATCTTTGCATACTAGAAAATGGTATGCGATTTTTCTTCAATACCTACAAGTATTAAGTGTCGTTGCATGATTGATCTAATAGTAATTGGTCATCAATTTTAAGTCATTAGATCACATTCAATGGTTAATTGTGCAATGACACTAAATGCTTGCTTGTAGGGAAGAAAAATCGGTTGCAAAGTGGTAATAAGTTAATTGGTTATGATAGAGGGGTGACTGTATAAGGTTTGAATAAGTTAACAAAAGGGCAAAAGGAAAGACAGCAAGAGATACGACTGAAGATTTGCTGAAAGGCAAGTGGGAATTTTGAGAATCATGTATAATTGCTTTTAGGCTTGTAGGAATCAAATAAAGTTGAGAATCCTCCCACGTAATAATTATTCTCATTTGATAAATACATCTTTCAAACAAGGGAAATAGATGATTGATTAGTATGTAGCTTATAATAGGATTGTGCAAGATTAATGCTTACTGTTATTGTTTATTTGGTAGCAAAAGTAATGGAAATTTCACTTCTTTTTCCAGTTTTTTATGAAAACAAAGAAATTAACACAACTTGCTTCCTTTGTGTAGTATTTAAATTTTAATTTATTACATCATATTTTTCCACCTTGTTCGGCCTTGGCCTTGACTTGTCAGGAAAAATTGGACAGATCCAATTTAGTCCAAGAAGCCAACTCTATCAGGCTTGTCTTGAACGATATAGGTTGTGATTCTGAAGAAGTGAGTTAGGCAAACAAAACAGTTCAAGGAAAAATTGTTTTATATTTGCTTTTTCAGCAATTAGCAACAACAATTCAACTAAATTACTTATTATAGAGATAGCAAAAGTCTTGGGGGCAAGTTGTTCATAGTTTTACCAAGAACAAACGCGAAAGACAATTGTCCATGACCATTTGATGTAGTGACAATCAATCTTCTTGATTGAATGATGTTGTGAATTTCAAATATTTCAGACAATAATTGTTAGGGTAAAAATATCAAAATAGAACAATCTCAGCTTTTGCCAAGAACAAATGCTCAACAAGTATACCAAGTCAATTTTGAAATGGCTACCAAACTGAGGATAGGGCCAAAACCAAATTCTGGAAGTATTGGGTGGTGTCCTTTCATCTCAGATCCACTGTGAATACAAATCCATGGTCCCCTTTTGTCTTTAAACCAATTGTTAGGGTCACAGTTTAATCTCTTAACCATCCCAATGATTGTTTGCCTTCCCAAATCAACAAAAAAGAGCCCTTTCGTGGGGCAGATGAACTATTTGGATTCTCTAGATTGAACTTAAATTATGTAGAGTATACAGTTAATATTAGACTCTCCTTCTTCTTGACCAGTTTACAAAGAAATCATAGTCATCCATCTACATTTACAATTAATTTAACTATGGAGGATAAAATACAAAAAGAAAATTAAATGAACATCTATAGTTAGATTATGATCGAATGAATAGTGACAATAATTTTCTTAAACTCCGGAATCTAGGAGAACATGTATGTACAATACTATATAGTGCATCCATTAGAAGTCCCAGTAAAGTATTAAGCAGCCAGGCTGCCTTGCCTTGCTTTGCTCTCTCTCATAATAAAAGGGCTGCAAAATTAGATGGCTGGTGTGTATACGTGTGTAGTAATATATTGGTGTGAGACGAGTAGATGGATCGATGGGGGCTGCTTTTCATTGAATATGTTCTCAAGCCAAATCATGCTCTGACGAAGACTTGCATGTCTCTGGACTGTACATGATAAAGGTTCAGTGCTATAGAGCATGTCCAACATGAATTTACAGCTAGGTTACGATTGATCTTGGATCATTTAGTAGGCATGGGATGAGATTATGGGACGACAACCTGAAAAAAAAAAAAATGCTGTAGAACTTTGATTATCATGGGATCGTCGACACTACATTTACCAACTTATTTAGGCTAACGACCTTAATTAGTCTGGATTTTGTTGGAGAAGGTTTTGAGTTTCAATTATAAAACTTTTGAATTAAACAAAAATTAAACCTAGTTATTTGTAGATGACAAGTTCGAATTTATTTATTTTATTTTATTTTATTTTTATTTACGAAAGCTCATATTTTATTGACTTCAATGCTGTTACATCATATCTTGGCAGAGGAAGTTTTGAGTGAGATCACGAGGGTTCTCAAATCATACAAATTTCGTTGCCAATTGAAACAACTAACTTCGCTAATATATGGACTACCTTGTTACAAGACCTTGGCACGTGCACAAACTGAATCAGAGTGAGGGAAGCTGCCACTTGCCTAGCATCTTCCGCCAACAGACCAAACTCTGATAAATCTTTAGAGTGATTATTAATTACAGCAAGAGAAGGTGTGGAGTCACTCTCCACCAGAGCATGCCTTGCCTCTAACCTTCTCGCCAAACGGAGGCCCTCCAATACTGCCACTAGCTCAGCGTGGAGAGCAGACCCAATACCCTCCTTCCGCCACGCTCCAGCCGCTAGGAACTTCCCCGTCCAATCCCATAACAACCCCACACCACCACAAACTGCTAAATAAATAATATCACTTAATTAAGAGCTATACCTTGAATCTTGCAATAAGGGATTCCTAGCCTCACACCCCTTTTTAGTGAAATTACTATAATTTATATTAAAAAAAATAAAAAAAATCGCTACAATCTAGTTGATAAATACCACTCCTCCACTCCAACTTATAGGATAACATTCTACAATTAATTACTCATGTGAACACGACATAGGATTTTTAATTGTCTCTTGATATTACTTTTGACTTTCAGTCTGAATGATATAACACAATTTCAAGGATTATTGGAAAGTACTTTGACTTCCACATAAAAAATTAAAAAATATCTTAAAATGGGACAATTTCTTAATTTTAGAATAGAAATGGGATGTTTTTTTAATATGCACAGAGTATGCACACGCCATACACAGTTGCTGGACAGAAATATTTTTAACACCATAAAATGACTTAATTGCTCTCCCATATAAATTGGGTTACCCAGAAAATTGCAACCCTCATTTTGATTTTGTAGGAAGAGAAACAAAGAGGAGAGAGATAGAGGAAACCTCTCTTGCCTCCCCCACCTTCTTGTGCTCCACTGGGCACAGGTAAGACCCATCTTCTATTTTCCCTTGTTTTTGCTACTCAAGATCTTTATGACTCTTTTTTTCTTCATCTTCTTTTTATGTTTGGCTTAAATTCTGCAAATTGTATTTTTGTAATGAAATTTGATGCTTTGATTTGTAGAAATGAGCTTGAGTTTATTGTGATTTGTTGTTTGGTTGCACTTTTGAAGAAGTGATTTTGTTAGAGGAAAAATGATTTTAGTTGATATGTGGAATTGAATTCTGGATCATTAAAATTTGGGAATAATTTTGGAACCTTTGGTGGAGTTGTGTGAATTGAAACTTGTTTATACGGTTTGTTATGACTTCCATTTTCCAAAATTACATCTTGGTATTGGTGGATAGTTGGTATGATTCTTTGCAGCATATATATAGCTTCTTTAATCTTGAGATTCACATTGGATTATAAAAATGTTCAAAGCTCTTAATCTAAGAATGGTTTTGAAGGATAAACAATATAGTTGTTAATTTTATTTTTTATTTTATTTTTAAACTTTTTCTATACTTTTCTTATGCGGTCTTATGTCATTTCAGAGCGATGGTTATGTTCTTGGATTCAATGGATTATCATATGCTATCAGAGTTAACGATGCTTTCAACTTCTTGAGAAAGATGAGCAAAAAAGGTTTAGTTTTAGTGGCTACTGTTGTAAGTTTCAATGCTCATATTGATGGCTTTTGTAAGGCTTCTGAGCTTGACGAATCACATTTATTATTGTACAAGATGAATTTGTTATTTAGGTTATGTTGACAATTTTTCACAATTTTATGGAAACATTGTTGACAATTTGAATGCTTTAATCTCTGTTGAAGGCTCTTGTGAAAGATAAATTGAAGAAACTTGGTATAATATGTATCCAAATGAATGCTTTCGTTTATTTTCTTATATCGTTTGTCAATTTGTTTCTCGATTCTTTGATGGGGTGTTCCAGTCCAGTCCATTTCAGTTTCTTGTGTCTCTTTTGTAGCTTCTATGACTGATTTACTGTGACATCCCACATTGCCCAGGGGAGTGATCCTTATATGTATATTCCCATCCCTACCTAGCACGAGGCCTTTTGGGAGCTCATTGGCTTCGGGTTCCGTAGGAACTCCGAAATTAAGCGAGAAGGGGGCCAGAGCAATCCCATGATGGGTGACCCACTGGGAAGTTGCTCGTGAGTTCCCAAAAACAAAACCGTGAGGGAATGGTAAGCCCAAAACGGACAATATCGTGCTACGATGGTGGAGCGGACCCGGGAAGTGATTCACCCCGGGCCCGGATGTGACAATTTGGTATCAGAGCCTAACCCTGGCCGCATGTGTGCCGACGAGGATGTCGGGCCCCCAAGGGGGTGGATTGTGACATCCCACATCGCCCAGGGAGTGATCCTTAAATGTATATTCTCATCCCTACCTAGCACGAGGCCTTTTGGGAGCTCACTGGCTTCGGGTTCCGTAAGAACTCCGAAGTTAAGCGAGAAGGGGGCTAGAGCAATCCCATGATGGGTGACCCACTGGGAAGTTGCTCGTGAGTTCCCAAAAACAAAACCGTGAGGGAATGGTAAGCCCAAAGCGGACAATATCATGCTACGGTGGTGGAGCTTCCGGGCTGGGATGTGACAATTTGGTATCAGAGACTATCCCTGGCCGGAAATGTGCCGACGAGGACGTCGGGCCCCTAAGGGGGGTGGATTGTGACATCCCACATTGCCTAGGGGAGTGATCCTTATATGTATATTCCCATCCCTACCTAGCACGAGGCCTTTTGGGAGCTCACTGGCTTCGGATTCCGTAGGAACTTCGAAGTTAAGTGAAAAGGGGGCTAGAGCAATCCCATGATGGGTGACCCACTAGGAAGTTGCTCGTGAGTTCCCAAAAACAAAACCGTGAGGGAATGGTAAGCCCAAAGCGGACAATATCGTGCTACGGTGGTGGAGCGGGCCCGGGAAGTGATCCGCCTCAGGCCCGGATGTGACATTTACTAGTGATATTTCGAAGTCTGCGTTTTTTTTTTTTTTTGGACATTTCAAATTTGCATATTGTGATCATTAAGTGAGCATGGTGTGTACATTTTATCTGCATATCATGTGCATGGCTTGACTATGTTATGCACATTAAAAGAGGTCAAATTTGGGTTTGTACTCAATTATTGTAGTCTAATTTTAACATAATGCAATTAATAATGACATAGAATCATACCTTATACGATTCGAACCTACGACATCGGGTTTTGGAGACTTAAGCATGCTTTGTTCATGCTTTGTGCTGTGCATCTTTCATTTAAGACAACCCTCGAGAACCTAACACCAAAGCTATGGGACACGTTATTGACTATTATTTGTAATTTTTGGATTCATTTAGGGGACATGAAGATGTCGTGTGCATATACTGTGCATTACATGTGCATGTATTGTGCATGTTCTACGCATGACATGTGCATTTTCTTTGCATGTTAGTCATTCATGCATAATATCCAAAGAAAATAATAAAAAGACAGGCAAGCATTGATGAGTGGGAAAAAGTGACAGCAAGGTAGATCGATGACATGGTAATGACCACACCTTGTCGTTTGTGTATTTGTACAAAGAAAATTTTAAAAGTATAAAGTACATGAGAGTCATAAAGGAAAACAAAAGGTTGCGTTGGAATTTAAACGTTGCGATTACAACAAAATTAAACAAACAAAAAACTTAGTACCTATCTACCACATACTATATCACAAAAAATGTTCATTTCCTAATGTCATTGACACATATTGCAGCTATTGAATTTATCATGGCATCAGTAATCCCAATGTGTTCGGAGTGACCGGACCTTGTCGACTTCCACAGTTGCTACAAGGTTTGATGGCAGCGTTGTCTTGGTGAAGTTTTAAGATTTGGGCCCTTACTTCCCTATGCACATAAAACCCCGATAACCTCTCTCAGCATTCCATTACAATGAACCGTCCTGAGTTGTGACGGTTAAGAGAATAGAGAACTTTGAGCTATTCGTGCTTGAAATCCCACCCATGGCACACTAAGATTACACCGTACACGTACGTTGCTACTTGATGGCCCTTAGAGATTGCACTTTTAAGCCGCTCAATTCTGGCTTCTTCCTTGTTGTCTCAGAAGAAGTATTGCATCCCTATCTTGTAAAGGGCCTCAGGGTTGCAGCATTGGATGCAGCGATTGATGAAGTTTAAGACTTTGTTGCCCCATGATCTAAGCGGGTTAATGGTCTCAAAGTCTGTAATATTGATGTGTTGATAGATGCAAGGGTCTTCAGCTATTTCCTTGAACTTATTCAAGGCCATCTTCGTCGAAAAGAGATCCCTTAACGAGCGGGAAGTAACGATGATGAGAATTTGAGAAGAACGTCATCAAAAATAGATTGCATAGAGGAAGAGGTGGTGCAACCTTTCTTCATCAATTTCAACTTATGGTTTTTTTTTTTTTTTTTTTTTTTTTTGGGAGGATGTAAATTGAACTTGTGGTTTTGTAATGAAACACAAACCCACAAGACAACTTAAATAGATGGAGAATAAGGGCCATTCAAGTGGTGCAACTTTCGGTGACAAAAAGGGTCATTTAAACGATACATATTCCCATGAAAAAAATATGTAATAATTAAAAAATAAAACCACCCAATACCATTACATAAGTAAATTAATGATAACCATCCTCCGTATACAACGCATGCGCATTATTTACACACATTATATACCCAAACAAAACATTAATTAAAGCCCACTACTTATGTAATATATTATTATTAAACATTGGGAAATTTATGAGTTGATTTGAGGAAAAAGCACATCTTACACATATTGAATGTCAAGCACACTTAAGTAGGCTAGACAAGACATGAGGGTCATGTACACTACATCTACACCACATATAGCTTGTCTTGTCAAATTGCTAACTCGTTTGCCAACCAATTCATTTAGAAGCAGAGCATGGAAGGAAAAATTTGGTATCCAATTTGCACTTTTTTGATTGGAATTTCACTAATATGAGGATTGTGCATTTTTTAAGATATGAAACCTAAAATAATGGGGTAAGTCTCATCCCTTTTGAGGCCTAGTCTTGAACAAAATCCCAAGGCCAACATGTTAATGCCTACTCGGTTTACAGTAATGTGTGGAAAATTTTGATTTTTGACATGGCACAATACTTGGCATGTTCCAATTTATGTTTCAGTCTAATTGTAGAAATTTCACAAAATTTTTCCTATGTGTGCATACAACGTGCATATGTTATGCAGGATGCTTGTATAAGGTGTGCATTTCTTGCGCATGGCATATTATGTGCATATAATGTGCAAATTATGTGCATGTTATGTGCTTATAACAAGGATACATTGTACGTAGGTATCATAAAATACATAGCTAATACATTTCACAACAATAAAATGTTGTATAATCCCATTATGGTTGACATGGTTCCTTTCCCTTTGCTAGTCGACGAGAATCCTCAAAACCTTTGTTGCATTCCTTCTCCATTTTGGCCTTTCCCTCCCAAAAATGCTCGTACAACTGAATATGGCCCTGACGCTTTTGGAACAATTCAAATTTTAGGAATGTGATCCTTTCTCCAGACGTGTCAACCTTCGTTTTCTGCTTGCTTGCACGATACAACGTTTTATTTGCTCCACCTTTAAGGTCCACAAGCTCTTTTTCTGCTTTCATCAGCTTGTGGTTCCAATACTCGGCAACAACCGTCTCATAGTTGAGTCTTCCACAGACCTGATCTATACTTTTCAAGGGTGTCTCCGAGTCTACAGAGCTAAACGATGATGTAGGATTTGTCTTCAGTAACCCTGGAAGTGGAGGAAGTTCCATGTTGTATCACACGTGGAACTTCGCATTAAAACCCTTAGTTTCATGTAGGAACTTGGACATGTTTGTGTTGTTAATTGTTTTGGCTATCTAATAAGTCTAATTTTGAGGGGAGTTAATGGTTATTTCAACTAAGGGTTTTAACGCAAAATTAGACTTATTAGATAGCCAAAACAATTGACAACACAAACATGTCTAAGTTCCTACATGAAACTAAGGGTTTTAACGCGAAGTTCCACGGCAAATCCATGTTCTCCCATGGATGGATTTGAGAAGTCTATAAATCAAAGCCAAATCCATCCAAAGGCAAGCTTTGAGAAGTCTATAAATACAAGGTTCTTAGACAAGCATAAAGGTCGACAATTTCTACATTAAAAGGTCAAAATTCTCACAAAAGGAGAACCTCTGCCAAATCTTTAAAGACTAATATGCAGCCAAAGCTATCTTCAAAGAATGTATAACCAAAACCGAAGCTTTCTTTCAACCAAAGCCAAAGCATTCCCTTGAAGAATCAATAAGCACTTGTGCCTATTCCTTCAAGACTTTGTTGCAAGCTTAAAACTTGTAACGACGTTCGATTCAAGATCAAGTCACTAAGACCCTTGAATCAACAAAATCCCACATCAACATCATTTTTTTCGCAGGTCATACGCAAACCTAGAGGTAAAGACTATCCACGCATTGTTTCAAGCTCAAAACTTGAAGCAATCGTTCAATCGTTCGTCCGAGATCAAGTCATTACGACCCTTGAATCAACAATATACGCATCTACATCAAATTTGAAGACTGAATCAAAGGAAAATTGTAAACAGAGATTGTAACCTACAAATTCATCAATACAAATATACTTTGTACATGTGTTCTCGTTCATTCATTACAGAATTTTCGTGTTTACAAATTTGTCATGCTCAGTGGGATCTCTTTGCCTCTCATCTCTGTCTTCAAATCTGCAAGAAACACACAGCATCAAGAATGGATCAAGCTGTTCTTACAACCAATGCAAAGAATAAGAACATCCTTGCTGCAAGTAATGGCACTTTGGGCATCACAACCCGACGCAAGGCAAAAGCTCTC